AGTATATGAATTAATTGCTAATGCACCACGAAGAACTTTCACAAATCCGTACATATCCGGATGATCATGTAATGGAAACATAAAATTACAACTTTTGAAGCCAAATAAGCATGCATGAATATGCTCCGATTCATAAATGTCAATGTAATACATTGGAGCTGTCATTGATTCAAGACCTATAATATATTTTTTATAAATAATAAATATAACATATAAAATAATTGATTAAATTTTTATCAAAAAAAAAAAAAATTTGATAGAAGAATAATTAGACATATACAAATATAAAATTTCTCAAGAATAATTAACGATATTATTGGAAAATTTTTAATCATTTATTTTTATATAAACAATCATCTATACATCATATTCAGTTACTTTTTATTTTCTTCTTTTTACTAATGCTTACGTGAGTATACGTCAGACGTGTATGAATGTGATATATATATGAATGTAAAGGAAAGAAAAGTCCATAATATGATGTGCCAAAAATTCCATTTAAATTAATCACTGATTAAGCTATTTGTGTTAAGAAAGAAAAATCCATAAAATGATCTGCCAAATATTCCACTCAATTTTTTTTTTTCACTTTTAAAATTGATTAAGCTATTAGATCTTCAAACTATATATTTGTAACTGACTGTAGAATAGAGTAAAAATATTTTGTAAACTGTTCAAGTTCAAATTATCCACATAATTCTCTATTCCTAAATCAATTTTTGCATTAGGGAATTCATAGAAAGAACTAAACCAATAAATACACTGTTTGAAAAATAATTTTAATACTAAATCAACAATTAATTTATCAAAAATATACCAAAAAAACAAACAAACAAACAAACCAAGACGATCCGGAAGAACAGCACCAATCATGTCAAGTGTAAGCGTTGATACAAGACGACGAGCACGTTCAGATAATATTTCTCTTTCTACAGCATAAGTATCATCACTATCTGTGATAGTGTTTGATAATAATTTCAACTGAGCTAATCTCTCGGATATTGCTGATACTTCACGTAGAAATGAACGTAATCCTTGCTGTGACATGACTTTTGAAATAATCATAAGATTGTTGTTGTTGTTGTTGTTGTTGTTGCTATTATTATTATTATGCTTTTGAGCGTTCTTAAAAATAAAAAACAAAAAAAAAAAAAAAAAAAAGAAGGAAATGAATAGATTAATTAGCAATGAAAAATTAAATTCAAACTATATTAATTAATATTCAAACACATTTCAATTAATTGCCAAATATGCTAGAAAATTTTCAATTCACTAAAATCATAGATGTTAAATTAAATTTAATGTATAAAGAATTAAGATTAAAAACGAATAATACAAAAATAAATGATAAAATTAACTAGCAAAAATTTCACGATTGAATTTCGCATATAGCACATGACATAAGAAAATAAAAATTAAATCAAAATTAAAAATTTTTAAGAATTAAAAGTCAGTAATAATAATTGAAGCAGTAATTAATGCTTAGCAATAAATAGGAATAAGAAGTGATTAAAAACTAATCGTATGGCATTAATTAAAATTCATTTACAAATGCATTTTTTTCTTTTCTTTTTTTTTTTCGATAAATTAAAATAAAAATTAGCACTGTGAAATGTTTGAAAACACATCGCTCAATAAATAAATGAGAAAAAAGAATGAATGAAAAATTCATTTAAATTCCATTCTGATATATTAATAAGAAAGAGAAAAGTATTTCATTTCAAAAATATTTACAATAACAAAATGGCATTAATCATCAATGAAAAAACGAAATAGAAATTAGAAACGGAAGAATGTTATGTACAAAATATATGACTAATATACATTCGAACAAGAAATGTAATTATTAATTATTACTAAAATGTAAACAGAAAGAAATATGAATGTAAAAATTGTTAGTATTATTTTAAGTTTAGTAATAACTAAAAAAAAAAAAATAAGCCTACATATGTCATAATAGATATAATAATATAGAACTACAAAAAAAAAAAAATATATTTTTACAAACTAAAAAAGTAATAATCTAAAAAATAAAGATTCTAAAAGTAATGTGCTGAAGAAGTAAAACTGTAAAAATAATTACCTAAAAAAAAAAGAAAGAAAGTAAAATTGTACAAGTAATGATTTAAAAAATTTCGTTCCTTTAAACCATTAACTTTTCTCTTTTGATAATAAATCATTTTGCTATTAGTGTAATAACAATTATTATGAGATATGATATAACTTTTTAATAATTTATTATCGTTTTCATTCACATTAATCTTTATTTTCTTATTTTCAAGGCAAACATTCTAATGGATAATGAATATTAGTAAAATAAGTGCAAAGTTAAAGTAATAACATTAAAAAAATTAAAGTAAAACAAATATATAAATAAGTAAATAAATAAACGAAAATAATAACAAAAATAGAAGAAAAAATGTGTGAAAAAAGAAAAAAAAAATATTACTTACTACGTTACTAAATCGATCAATATTAGACATAGATAAGTATGAAAATAAATAAAATTTTCATATAATTAATAAAATTAAATAATATTGTATTACTAAAGAATACAACAAAATGTTACAAATATTATAACAATAATTACTAATTTCAAATAAACTGTAATTTTCAGTTAAATATTTAAAAAAAAAAGTAAAATTATAATTTAATAATAGTGAAAAAATTTCATATGAGACATTTCCATTAACATTTATCAGTAATTAGTGTTTTAAGTAATTAAGTTCTGATGTTAAAGCTCGAAGCATACATTTGAGTGAGATATAAAGTGAAAAAAGAATGAATGAGAAGATAAACAAATGAAATAATTGTTTATGACAATAAATTGGTAAAAATTAATTAAATAAATAAGTAAACAAATTACTAAAATTAAATTAGTAATTTATTAAAAAAAATAAACAAATAAGCAACAAAATTTAATGCAACACAGCGTTCTGTCCTAATCAGAACAATGTGTAACATTAAAGGCTCGTAAAATAATAAATTTTACGCATTCCACATTTTTTGGCATTTTGACAATGAACCAACTGGTTCTAATTTAATTTTAATAATACGACAAAATTATTAGTAATTAATTATTTCAAGTTTTATTTTTATGAAATATCTCCAGTTATTTTTCTTTTAGATTAATTATTTTTAAAAAATTATTTTAAGTTTTATTTTATAAAATTTTTCAAGCTGTTTTTTTTTCTTAATTGAAATATTTTTATTAAATTATTTTGAGTTTTATTTTGTAAAATATTTCGAGCTGTTTTTCTTTTAAATTAGTTATTTTTAACAAATCATTTTAAGTTTTGTGAAATTTTACAAGCTGTTTTTTTTTTCTTAATTGAAATATTTTTATTAAATTATTTTGAGTTTTATTTTATAAAATATTTCGAGCTGTTTTTTAGATTAATTATTTTTAGCAAATTATTTTAAGTTTTATTTTGTAAAATATTTTGAGCTGTTTTTTTTCTTCTTTTAGTTGAAATATTTTTAGCAAATTACTTTAAGTTTTATTTTGATGAAATGATTCGAGCCGTTTTTCCTTTATAGAAATTATTATTAATTTAATAGTTATTTTAATTTGTTTTATGGAATACTTCGAATTATCTTTTTTTTTTTTGTCGTATGAATTTATCATTATATTATACTATTCAGTTTTATCAGAATGATATATCGTAACAAATTTATTTCACTGATATACTGTATATAAACTAGTGTGCAAAGTGTGATAAAGCTTACATATAGGAATAAAAAAGATAGTAAAAAATGGAATGTCGAATTGATTTTCTCATAAATTGAAGCATTCTTTAGGTTATTTTTCAAAGTTTTTATTCATAAAATAAAAGTTTTACTGTAGTAAAAGTTTTTTTTATAATATAACAAACAAAGATTAAAATGAAATTATTTTCAGATACTGATGATGAATGGAACTGTAAATAACAAACGATAAATTATCTATGGATGAAAGTAAATAGTGATGTATTGGATACGTTATGTTATAACATATCGTAAAATTATTGCTTATATAGTATTATTTCTCTTTTTTTGTAATCTTATTTTGATCACACGGTTTATTGATTGGCATTTACCTTTACGATTAGCTAATAATCTGCAGGTATATTTTTAAATTATCGCTTTTTTTTTCAATTATGGAACATAATGATGTGATTGAAATTAGATTTAATTTTGCCAAGTTAAATTTCGAAATTATTCGGAAATTTTGCACTCAAATTTTGTAAATTTCATTTAAAATTATGTCTTTCTTCAAATCTCTGGAGACAAATTTTAATTCTTATTACATATTTTGTAACTAAAAATGAATTTATAAAGTTAATGCTGAATATGACTCTACAAATTTTGGTTTTGGAATTAAATTTTTAGCAAGATTTTTTAGTCCATTCATGAAATTAAAGTTTTTGAATTCACTAAATGAATTATTTATATAAATGTCACTGCATCAATATATTGTCCTATTTGTAGGTCATAAATATTTTGTAATTTAAGAAATAATCGATAAGCATAAATCTTCATCTTTTCTTTGCAAATAAATTAAAACAAGTTTTCATTTAATAAATTAAATAATTGGTGTGCGTAAGGTACAGGTATTAATAAAACTGTCAGTTAATTTTGATTTGTTTATTAATTTTTATTTTTATAAAAATGATAAATTGTTTCAAATATAAAATGTTAACGAATCAGATTTGGCTTTTATTTGTTATGTTAATGATACTATAAATGTTATTAATATTACATTGGTGTTAAATTAAGAATGAACTGAAAGTTAATTTAATAGAAATTAAATAAGGTAAAAGAAATTAAAAGGAACTAAAAGGAAAATTTATATTAAAATACGTTGTGTTAAGAATCATAGTTGATTTACAGAATTATTTTTGTTTAAGAATACTGATTGGATTGATAATGAGGGAATAGATCAATCACAAATTATTGTGAACAAATTTTCATCATGTGAGCTTCTCTCTGAATCATTGACAGTGAATGCTTTGTCGAGAATGAAAACGGAGGAATGTCGTACAAAAGCTCGCAATATTGTTTGTAATATTAATCAGCTTATACCTGATTCACTTCCAAATACCTGTCCGAAATATGGTTAGTTTGTAGTGAAATTAAAAGTATAACTTTTAAAAGTAATTAAAAGTATAATATAGTATAATCATAATTAAAAGCGAAGCGAGAGAGGTTTCTAATTTAATAATATTTAGAATGGTAGAACATATCTTGAATATGAATATGAGATAAATTTCTTACTTAATATTTATTACAATTCTCTTAAGCTTAAAATAAACTTTTCGTATCCATGAAATGCAGGATGTTGTCTTGGTAGATGAGAATATGTGAACTTTTATTTTTCAAACAATTAGGCTATGTTTTTTAAATTTATTAAAAATGTAATCTTGTTTTAATTCGAAATATTATTTGCTAAAAATTTGTCAAAATAAAAATGTTTTAGTGAATTTATTTTTTTTTTTCATTTTTTCTAAAAACTATATTTTAGTTATTTTAGATGATAAATTACGTGGTTATTATATGGGTTGTTTTAAAGATTCACTAAATTCTCGCCTTCTTAATGGTCATTATTACATATTTAGAAATAATTCACCGTTGTATTGTGTAAATATGTGCCTTCGAGCAGGTTATCATTTTGCAGGTTACTATTTTAATTATATTTTTCATTTTTTTTTTTTTTTGAAAATAATTTTCTATCTGATACCATTCATCAATTTATAATACATTTTCTAAATGGATTAGAATTTATCTGTGAAATTTGTAAATTTTGTGATTGTCTTGTTGTTTAGCTGTTGAATATCATGATGAATGTTTCTGTGGTGACACGTTGACAAATCCTGTTTCACTTCCAAATATATCATGTGAACAATATCACTGTAATGATAACGATAATAATTTGTTTTGTGGTGGTTATAATGCAGCTGCTATTTATCGTACCGGTGTAATTGGTAAGAATTAATAATTTTAATATTTTTTATAAATAATTAAAATTTCTATATACATATATATTATTGAGAAGCATTAATAATACTAAGAAAGATTATTCCTTTACATATATAACTTTCTTATTTTGCTATACAAGATTATTTCTTTGTTAATTGAAAACAAATAAGAAGAATAGTGGAATGAGGAAGAAAATTAAAATTATCAACGATGAAAACACGAAAAAAAAAGTGTAAATAAAAAAGATGGTAGAATTAGTAGTAAAACTATTATATAAAAGGCAAATTAAGAAAGTAAAAATTTAAAAAAAAAAAAAGAAAAAACGATATGAATTAAATTTGAAATTAAAAATTAGAATGAACAATTTAATAATAGTTAATATTAGAAATTAACTTAGTAATCATATTTTAAGAGACATAAACTAGGTATCGTAATTTTTTGGGAAATAAAAATCAAAGTTTTGATTTAATAAAATGACAATTTTATGTTCATCAGTTGCAATGATGAAAAAATGGAACAACAGAAATTCATACTAATGTTAGAAAAAAAAAATTTTTAAATCATATTGGTAAAAATATAAATTTATAATTTTTGAATATAAAAAAGTGATATATAAATAAATTATATGTATATTATTTTGGATTTCAAAAAATTATAGTCGAGAAATGTTGCTATCCTAGTTATTAATGTGAAAAAACGCTTTTATTACGATATGGTTTTTTTTCTTTTTTTTTTTTAGAAAAACCTTTGTTGGTAATAAATTATACTAAACCAGATGATAGTGTGCCAAATGTGCAAATTTTATTTCTTTTGCAATTGAATGGACGAAATATTCGTCAGGTAGGTTGAGAAAAGGTTTGAGATTGATTAATTATGTAATAAGTGAAATTTAAAATAATTCTAAACATAAGAAATTTTTGTGAAATTTATCTTGGAAGTTAATCGATCGCAGCTGACAGCAGTTACTAATTAATAATTAATTAATTAATTTTTTTTTTTTTTTGAGATACATGTTTGTATTTACTAATTTTTGCATAAATTCTACTTCATCTAAATTTATTAATTGAAACTTTTTTATTCAGGTGAATCGTTTGTTTCGAATTATTTATTCACCAAAACATTATTATATAATACATGTTGATAGCCGACAACAGTATATGTTTGAGGGTACTTTTTTTTTTGAAATACTTTTTTTTGTAAATTGATAAAATTTAAGGATTCAAAGAACTAATGAAAAAGATATGTGTTAAGGAATCATTGTGATTTTTTAGCACTTATCTTTTTTTTTCTTTTCTTGAAAATTTGTTTTCTATAAATTTCCCATTTTTACTTTGTTATGAATGTAGTATTATTGGAAATTTCTGTCAGATATCACTTAAAGGTTTGAAAATTATTTCAAATTTAGGTTAGAATGTTAAACATCCTAGCTTCCTTAATTCTTTATTTTCCAATAATTGATTCTTATTTAAGTTTTTTTTTTTTCATTGTAGGAATGAAGGAACTTGTTGCCACAGTCCAAAAAGCTGGTTACAAGAATGTTTATTTGATGGAAAAACGTTATGCAACGATTTGGGCAGGTGCTGCATTACTATCTATGATTTTGGAAGTACTAAAAACAGCTTTGTATACTCTGAATTGGAATAGTTGGGATTTCATGTTGAATTTAAGTGAAAGTAATTTTCCTATTCTTTCAATGGTTGAATTAGAATTCCATCTAGCAAAGTATGTTTTTACCAAAACTTCAAATATTTTTTTTTTTTTTTTTTTTTTTTTGACTAAAGTAGAGTATTTTTTCTTTCTTTTAATTAGTGTTACTTTTTTGTCAAGTATTGTTTTGATCTTATAGTTGGAAAACTGTTTATACTTTGAAATATAACACATATATGATCAATTTACATAATATGATGTATAACTTTCTTATTGAGTTAACTTAGTTTTTTCATAGATCATTAATTTGTTGAAAGTTAATTTGAAGAAGTAAAGGACGAATTTTCTTGGGTAATCACGGTTATGATACTGCGCGATTTATTCAAAAACAAGGACTGGAATATGTTTTTATGCAATGTGAAAATCGGATGTGGCTTCTAATGAAACGGTTAACCATTTGTTATTCTCTGTAAACATTAAATTTATGAAATTAATATAAGATTATTTGATAAATGTGTGTGTGTGTGTTAATTTCATTATCTAGATTAAATTTTATAAAAATGACTTATTATGCTTAGTGTAACTTTATTGTTGCTGTTATTTTACAAGCACCAGAATAATATTATCATTTTTAAATAATTATGAATGAATAAAGAAGAATGAATTATGTAAAAGAAATAGTGAATGAAAAAAGAAAAACTGAAAAATTGTTAAAAGTTTATATAGGACGAAATTTCCAAATTCTATTCGTTTCGATGGTGGCTCTGATTGGATTGTTATTAGTCGAGATTTTGCCGAATATGCTTTATCTGATGAGGAATTACCTTTAAATTTTCGAAAATTTTTCACTAATGTTCTGCTACCAGTTGAAACTTTTTTTCATACTGTAGGTAAATATTTATTTATTACTGCATAATTGATACTTTCAAATTATGATAATATTTATTATATATAATTATCAAAAAATTTCTTTTAAGTTTGTTCTGTGTAGCTAGTAAAAGTGTCTTTCAAAAAAGATATTTCTTCATGTAAAAATAATTTTGATAATACTTGGAAACAATTTCTTTAGTTTTGCTACCAATTATCATTTTGTTAATTTTTTGTATTTTTTGATATAATTCTTAATGAAAACTTATTATAATTTTATTTTTATTTTTTTGTATAGTATTAAGAGTTATTGATTAGATTTGGATTCTTTTTTTAATTATATTATTCGTTAAAAAAAAAAAAAAACTACTAATTTACAGCTAGCAGCTAATTCAAAATTTTGTATGCAAGTGGTGAAAGGAAATTTGCATTTGACAAACTGGAAACGTCAACAAGGTTGTCGTTGTGCAGCATTAAAAAAGATTGTGGATTGGTGTGGTTGTTCACCACTTGCTTTTCGATCATCTGATATCTCGAAATTTTCACTTGAGGTATTATTTTCTAATATAAATTCATGATTTTCTTTTTTTTTTTCTCCAGCTATAATTAGCCGAAGAATTTTTCGTTTTTATTTGTTTTCTTTCCTTTTTTTTTTTTTTTTTTTAGATTTAAAATTAGAAGAATTTTGAAAAAGTGACAAATAATTGTTCAGGCTGTCAAAAATAGAGTGGTATTTTTTGGTCGTAAATTTGATTCAATGATAAGTCAACGAGCTATTGCAATTGCTGAAGCGCAGGCATTACGATTTACTGATAATATCAATGATAGCAATTTCAATCATCCATCATTTAACAAATCCTGGACAAATGTTTATTTATCACAGTTTGATCAGTCAGGTAATGCTTACAAATTCGAAAATTGAAAAAAAGAATCGTCAAAGAAGAAGAAAGAAACTATTTTTTTCTTCATTTTCATAAATGTTTTTTTTGTCAAATAGAAAATTTGTTGATTTCTTCATTTTTCTTCATGCTTAAATTTAATGGTAATTTCTTCTTTTTTTTTTTTTTTAATTTATTACTTCATTTTAAACTAATATAGAATTATTTGTATATATAAATTCAATAGAATGAATCTTGAATGTTAGCACAATATTATTGTGAAATATTAGGATTTTATATTTTATTCTGACTGAATAATTTTCAGTTTTAGATTTTGAACTTTTAAATGTTTTAATTGCTAATAAAACAATTTAAAATGCTGAGCTTTTTTTTTTTTTCACCTCATGTTTATCACAAAATAAATACAATAACTTTTTTTTCTTTTATTTATGCTTTTGTTTAAAGGGACAAATAGACTTATTGAGAAAAAATTTGAATCTGTATAACTTAAATCTGTAAAAGTTTAAATCTATATATTATCATCATTATATTTAATATCATTATCATCATTATATTTAATGTGATTATGATAAAAATAAATAAATAAATAAAATTTTTTAGTGTTGCTGGAAAATTTTGCTCGTGCATTATTGTCTTATGAAATGAATGGAAATTGTATATTTGGCAATCTTTCATCAATTATTGCTTATAAAGAAAACGATGAAGCAAATATTCAAAGCATATACAGATCATCGTACAGATGTAATAATAATAATAATTCAAATGAATTTATTCAAGTACTAGTAGAATCAATTAATTTGGTAAAATTTATGCATACAATTGTGGATGGTTATGAATTGATAAATCTTGAAATTGGTACCGATTTTGATTTTAAAGAAGAAATTTTTCGGAAATATCATAATATTTTATCAGAGGTTTTTTTTTTCACTTTTTCATTCTTTACTTTTTATTTTTTGCATAAAAATAAAAATTATTTATTCATTTAGCTATTCTTTATAATTGTTAATTGCTATCATTTTATTATTATTACTGTTAAAATTAGTACTATAATAGTAATTTGATTTTATTGATTTTTATATTATATTCATGGTATTATCAAATTACATGATTATATGAATGGAATTATTTAAATTTAGCTTAATGGAATGGATATTTTTGAAATATATTTTAGCAACTATCAAATTCATACATATGAAAATAATTGTTAATTTCTTGAATAATTCAGGATGATACAATTTATGCAAAATTACGATGGCGAAGGATTGGATCATTAGCAACTTCTGTTCATCAAAATTTCACAAGTCCTGAAGTAATTGTGGAATGGAAGAATCCTTCAAATTTTGTTGTTAAACGGACAAAAGTAAATTCATATAATTCCATGTTTGGTGGTCAATATACGGAATTATTTTCAAATGAAACAACACCTGGTGAATGGACTGTTGAATTTATCCATATGGAAGCTAATATTAGCACTGTTATTAGTTCTATAAAATTTATAATATTTTCAATAACTGATAGAAATATTAGTGATGATATAATATTTAAATATTTTCGTCGTATTGATTTTTGCTCAGAAGGTGGTAACATTAACAATCTACCGAATTGTTTGGAAACATCATGGAGTGCAAGTTTTCCGGATCTGAAATCTCATTTATTTTTTTGATCCTGTTTTGTTTTGTTATTTTTAAATTTCATCTTTTTTTTTTTTACTATTTATGTCAATATTTATAAATTTTAAAATTTAAACATATATTTAGAATTTTGAATAATTTTGCAAAGTTTTTTCCTTTTGTGAAATCTTAAAATATTTGATCTTTTGTTTTCTTTGTCTACTACTGCATATGCTCAATATTTTTTTTTTTTATGCTTTTTGTTTGGAAGTGCTTTATTTGATTGATATTTATTTGGTTAGTTGTTGAATATTTATCCTTCGTTTATTAAAGTTATCATAGTTTTGCATTAAATTAATAAATATATTAATTATTTTAAAATAATATTTCTTTTCTTCTCCTTTTTTTCATCCTCTCTCTCTCTCTCTCTGTCTCTCTCTGTGTGTTTTCTTTTCTTTTTATGTTAATGTTAAATTCAAATTTATGGATCAAATCAGAGTCAGTAAAATGCGAAAATTAAAATGTCTAAAACAAAAAAAAAAAAAAAAAATTTCAGCATACATAATCAAATCTTTCATTTCAAATGTAATTTTTAAATATATTTTTCTAATTTATCATATCAAATTAAATTCATTTAATTTATCAACAATCTTATAAACAACAAAAAAAAGGTAGAAGATGACAAATTTTGTTTTGTTTTGTTTTTTTTTTTTTTAAAAAAAAACAGTTTAAAATTGTTTATTTAAAATTTTGGATTTTTCAACATTTACGATAATTAATCATTCATTTCATATTTAAAAAAGAATGAATAACACACAAACTTATTGATGGAATTAATAAATTTACTAATATTTCTTTGTAAATGAAAAATAGAAGTCAAATAAGTAAGCCTCTGAAAAAAGCAAAAAAAAAGAAAAATAGAAATAAGAAATTAAAAACAAGAATTTGTCTTTATGGTATGATTCATCAATAGTTTTCGTAGCTTTAATTAATCATATTAAAACAAATATTTGAATCTTTTATTTTACTACGAATTATATTCTCATATGAGCCAAATTGTAATTAATCTATTTGATTATAAATTTATTATTTTCTTTTTCGAGAAAAAGTAGTGTTTGTAATAATTTCGTCATTTTCAACTGTTTTTAATTTTCAAATATTTTACGAAATTATTTCTTAAATAAAAGCATTGCAATACAATAATCTTTGAATTGCTTTCCATGTTCAATAAATTTTTAATTTTTTTCATCACCTAAAAAAATCTAAAAAGATTTTTTTATTCCTTTGATTAATATTATGTTATTTATTTATTTATTAATTTATTATTATTCTTTTTTTGTTGCTATTTTTGTTATTATAATTATAATCACTATTATTAGTATATTTCATCCATTTAAAAATTAATTCCAGGAAAATTATAAAAATAACTTGTTTAAAAGTTGATTGAAAATTATTTTTTTATTTTTTCCCCCCTATTCTTTTAGTTTTTGTTAAAGAATTTTATAAGCCATTTTTTGAAAAGTTAATGGGAATATTTTAAAAGTTTAATTTGAAACTTTTACTGTTTTAAATTACTTTTAATATACTTTTGAATTATATTTGTCGTTTTGTTTTCTTTCTTTTTCATTTTTTCAAATAAAAATTTATTGTTTTGCATTCAAGAAAAAAGCGCTTTTTCTCTCTCTTTCTCTCTCTCTTTCCTTCTCTCTCTCACTTACAGGATTTACCTTTTCCGTTAATTAACGAAAAAAAAAAAAACCGCAAAAAGCTCGGCAATTAATGTTCATTAACCTAAAAAATATTACTTAATAGGTAGTTAAGAAAAAGAAAATTAAATTAATCAGTAATATAATTAATTGATAATTAGATAAACTTGTCATACCGGAATTACATTTGCGGAAAAATGAAATCAGTTCTAATTACTTTTGTAATTCTAATATTCAACATATCAACTAATGCTAATTATTTTGTTGTGTAGAAGTTATATTTACCCGAAAAAAAAAAAAATGGAATAAATACATTGACTGCTCCCCTATATATATCAAAAATGGGCAACTGATATTGATTATATTTATCATATTGGAATTTTATTTTCTCTAAAAATGGCACAGATGTTGGTTCTTTTATTATTTAAGAATTACATATTTATAGAAATAACAAGATTATATCACGAAAAAAAAAAGCAAAAAAAAGAAAAGAATGAAAACATAAATCATAATAAATAATTTGTGGAGTGCAAAAACAGAAAAGTAATAAAAATTATCTTTCAGTAAAAATTTTATTATTATTATTATTATTCTAAAATTTATTCCAAATTTTACAATAAAACAAAAGAGAAATAAAACTTTTGATAATTTAATAAAATTTTCTCAACAAAATTTAATAAGAAAAATTTTCAATTAAAAAATTGATTTATACATTTGTTTAAAAAAACAAAAAAAAAGATAATCATTAAAATAAAAGAAAGAAATGGAAAAAAAAGAGAAATAAATATTTTTATTTTTGCTTTTTTTCCCTTCAATATTCCCTAAATGTATATATAAATATATTTTTTAATAAAATTTATTCCTCTCTCTCTCTCTCTCTCGCTCTCACTTTTTTTTCTTTTAGTGTAAAAATTCTAAAAAGTGAAAACTTTTCCAAAATGATTTGAAATAATTTTAAATTTAGAATTTTGTCCTTGCCCTCAAAAGTTGTGAAATTTGCATAAATTTAGGTCAAGTATTGATATTTGCATCATTCTACTATCGCATTCAACGATCATCATCATCATCATCATCATCAATATTAACATTGAACCTTTCTCTTTCCCTCCCTCTCTCCCTCTCTCTCTCTCTCTCTCTCTCTCTTTCTACCTCTTTGTGAAATTTAAACCAAATCTTTATCAGTGTATTGAGCCTAATCCTAAATGTATAATTCCCAAAAGGTTAAGGCTTTTTATAGCAAAAGTCATCGACCCTATCCTATTAAATTTTCCATTCATTTAAATTCTTTCACACTGCTCAATAAATGGAGCATTAATAATATTTGGCAAATCTTTTTACATTCCTATGAAAGATTTATTTTATTCATTCATTTTAGGCTTATAATTTAATAAATTTTATATTATTTTTAAAAAAAAAAATAAAAAAAGCAAATTTATAAAAAAATAAAAAATTTATATATGACAAAAACAATTTTTAGAGCGAGAAAAAATGAAAAACGCCAAACAATTTCATTTTTTTTTTCCTTTTTTTAATTTGTAAGTATTATTTGTTTGATAAAACAGTGATAAACAAATATTTGTTCAGAATTTGCTAAAATGATAATAAATGATTTGCTATCATTGATATTATTTGATAAAATGTTCTTTAGCAATAGCAATAATTTTTTAACTTATCATTGGATGATTACTTCATTTGTTATACTTTATTATATGTGATATAATTAAGTTATTCATTACTGTTCAAGTATAACGGTAAAAATTTGAATTGTTTTAACATTACTTTATTGATATCTTTTCGTTCTCTATTAATGACATTGATAATGAATAATAATGAAGTGATAACGATAATAATGATAATGATAATGACAAATGATAAACAAATAGGAATAATTGTTATAACCGTGAATAATTATCCAAATATGAACACATGCTAATTTTCGCCTCTTTTCCTATTCTTTAAACAACAGAATTCTATAAATTAATTAAATATACATAAATAGAAATATTATATTTGAAATTAAAAAGAAAATTTTTATTTTTATGAATTAAGATAAAATTAATGATTAATTTTGTATATCTATTTGAATTCTAATATAAGCTTATAAATATCACAATCATACGATTATCTACTACAATCCTTGCTAATATCACCAAATTTAATCATTTATCAACAAAAAAAAAGAAATTTAAATTCTTTTCAATTTCAAATAATTAAACTTATAAGCTTAAATTAACAAAGAGAGAGAGAGAGTTCCCTCTCTCTCTCTCTCTTTTTTAAAAAGAGATTATACTTTGATCTTTTCTTGAAACAAAAATTTTTACATTTTTCCTTGTCTTTTTCCCTATTCTTTCTTCTACTCTAAGATTAAATTATGCTCGCATATGCTTGTTCAGGCCAAAAAATAATTCTAACAAAAAATTGGCCAAGATTTGGTAACAATTTACAAATTGCTTGGCTAATTTTATCATTTAAGCTATGTATTTTTTGCATCTTTCATAGCTTTCTAATATAAAAATTGGTGAAATTATTTTAATTTGAAAAAAATTGAAATTCAAACTACAATTAAGCTTTTTTTCATATTTTTTTTTCCTTACGCTTAAAAATATCAAATTAAAACCATTATTACAACTTAAAATTATTAGTTATTCATTTTTATAAACTATAAAATATATCATTTCACATAATATTAATTTCTTATATTATTAAAAAAAAAGCAAATAAACAAACAAATATTATTAGGAAATATTGTCATTTTATTTATTTCATTTTTTTTTTTTTTAAAAAATTACTTTTGCAAGTTTTTACTTATTTTTGCATTCTTTCTTCTTCCTATTTAGTGCTTTTCCCTCTTCTCTCCCCCTCCCCCATCATTTTCTTTTTTGAAATTTTTTTTAAAAAGATAAGAAACTATTACTTATAATTTTCCATTTGTTCCCATCAATTTGAAATTAATTGAGTTATTAGATTTTTAAATTTTATTTTGATTGTTATTGATAATTAATAATAAAAGGATAAAAATGCATTTTTCTCTTTTCGCATTTCGTTTCATCTTGTCACCTCTTGTGTCACCTTCCATGTCATCTCTGTGTCTCTTGTCATAAAATTTCATGAAATATGAAAGCACTATCGAATAATTACATAGAATAATCCATTTTGACAAGGAAAAGGCAGCGCTATTTTAAACGAATTTTTTAATTTTAAATTTGATTAGGCAAAATAATTCGTTTTCTTTTTCAAATTAAACATAAAATTGTAAAATTTTTGGAATAATGCTGGAATGCTTAAATTTTTTCTTTCGATGATTTGATGAAAAATTTTCTTTCGATTATTATTATTTATGTTATTAT